CACATACATATATACACTCCTGCACCCAGAAAAGCATGCTGTGAAAAACTGCTGTGAAAAACATTCACAGCAATAGGGATTTGCTTAACTTCTTTCCATCTTGGACAGCCTATCAAGTGAATAATAACAGAGCTGTTGGCTCTAGGGCAGGAGTGGGGTATAATGTGACCTGGAGCCCAATTTTGTGGCTCCTAAAGCCTCCCAGAACCCCTAAATGGTGTGATTTTCAGGCAAATTTGCTCCAGAGCCACACAATACCACAATGCATGTAAACATGCTAAAATACCACTCCCCATCCTCACAAGCACCCCAGAACTACATACTATCCCCCAAATGCTTCTGTTTCCCCACTCAAAATGTCAAGCAGAAATGATACCATGTCACTTCCTCACATGAATTTGAGAACTTTTATGGAGGAAAATGGGGGCATTTGGGCTTACTCTGGGTACGTCAGCATATGTGGAGGTTTGGGGCTTGGTATCTGACCCCGATGTAGTTGTCCATCCCTGATGTAGTGTGTGAATTTATCAGTCCTGGCATAACAAATATGTTAGAAATTAGAGCCAACATATGCCAAAGGTCAGGAGGAAGAAGAGAAGTGTGACTCAAGCCTCCAATTCAAGCTACAAGGTGGAGAGAAATTCAGAAAACCCCAATGGCCACCAGTTATAGATATTGGAAGTGTTTGGTTGTTGTTGGTGTTTAATCACAGTACCAAAACCCCATCAGTCTTCATGGCCATTGACAGGAGATTCTGGGAGCTATATATAGTCTCAAATTAAAACTTTCTGAGGTCTGTTCAGTAAACATTCCTTCTCAGTTCCCAACCCATGGCCAAAGAAACAAAGCACAATGGTAGACTAGACATTAATTTGAAGGGGTATGAGAGATCTGCTGTTGGTTGAGGTCACCAATTCTTTACCTTTCTTTTGCTTCAGCCTGTGATGGGCTTATATCAGCAATGTTCTAGTATCATGCAAATCTTTCTTGTGCAGCCTTCTTTAAAGGGAAGTTACAAGAGGTGGGCAGACTGTTCATGTTCATTGTGAATTTGGCTTAGTTTTGGGGAGTTCTATCCACAGTCAGTCAGCCATGAACTTGATCCTCTTGATAAGTTTCCTAATGATCTTCCCTGCATGTAAATAAACCCTTCCATTTCTCTTGATACAATAGCATTTTAATGTAATAATTAGAACAAGCTCTTCTTGATTTTTGACTATGTTTATGTTCTTTTCCTATGCTTGAAGACATTTCCTCCCAGGTTACCCTCACAGAGACTGGTGGTGGTGTGAAGAAGCCAGGAGAGACTCTGCACCTGACCTGTACAGTCTCTGGATTTTCTCTAACAAGCTATGGAGTACACTGGATCCGCCAACCTGTTGGAAAAGGACTAGAATGGGCAGGAGTTATATGGAGTGATGGGAGCAATAACTACAACAGTGCTCTCCAAAATCGTATCAGAATCACAAGGGACACCTCAAAAAGCCAGGTGTTCCTGCAACTCAGTGGCCTAAAGTCTGAAGACACTGCAGTGTATTACTGTGCCAGAGACACAGTGAGGAAATCTTTCTTGGAGGCAGTACAAAAACTCCTCCTCCTGGAAAACAGGCATTAATCATTTGTGGCTTTGTGTGAAACAGCTGAAAGCAAAACCATTTTTCATCCTGTCTGCCTCTGAACCACCAATGTAAACAATGCATACTATACCAATAATACAAAATAACAAGCTATAAATAGGATCATAGAAAAACAGTAGAGATGATGTAAACATTTAGAAATTTCTAAAGTATGGGATGGAAGCCAACAGCTGATTATCTTTCCTTAATATAATTAAAGCCCTAAGGCACCTAAGCTTGGATCCAAGGAAGATGAGATTTAGGACTGTATTCCATCTCAACTAACATAAATGTATTTAATCAATTTTGTGTCCAAAATGGTATCAAAGATGGTGGTTCTTTGGTGAGAAATCATTGTATATTCACTCAAAGATATACTTGCAAAAATGCACTAATTTTCTCAATTTTTCAACCAAAAAAATCACTTGTCATGTTATGTTATCTTTAGAGAAGGGGTTGTTTGTATATTTTATTTTATTTTATTTTATTTTATTTTATTTTTGCTGTCTCTCGCCCCACCTCCTCTTTTACCATGCAAAGACAAGTCAAGTCAGGTTTTTGCATCCTTAATAACAGAAGAAAACAATCAATCAATCAATTAATTAATCAACCAAAACCAGTATAACAGTATTTTGCAGAATAAGAATTTGCTGTGGATGGCACTCATGTTCCATGATACTGTCAAATCTGTAGAATGACTTCATAATGGAAAATGAAGAGAAAGGACAGCAAGGGAAATCTACTCAAACCACAGGAAGCAGATGGTTCAGAAGCCCTCTTCTAATGGATAGTCTATTTTTAATGCCTAAAACACTGAATCTTCAACTGCTTTTGTATATCCACAACACTCCCCTCACCTCTATGGCCTAGTCTGCATAGGCCAAATGAAAAAGGCCTCCTTGTGTCTTATCTGCAGGATCTGGATAATGCATGACCCAAACCCCAGTACTGGTGCGAACTGGCCAGAAGATGTCCAGCATGTTCAGCACAACACCCTTAACATACATTTTAAAAAAAAACTTTTCCTATGTTCTGAGGCCAGGGCACTTGTTCACACACATGTGTCCACCTGTTGTGTCCACCACTGTTGCCAGTTGCTTTCTCTGAGTTCAGAACCAGGTGCCCAACTATATGATCATGCCTTGATCTGACCTCAGAGCAAAGGGATCCATGTTGGTGATAGATGTGCCAGCTGACTCAGCAGGATGCACATATGCACAGTCATCCTGAATCACAACGGAGGGCCAGGTAGTGAGGGGAGAACAAGGAACTCCAGGGCTAGGACATTCCTGGCTACCTTTGGAGTAACCTGGTCCATGCAGACAAGGTCTATGCTGAACTGTCCCAGCAACTCCAATGCTTGCCCTACTTGTATTTCAATCCAATTCCTTTAAATCATTTCTATGAAAAGCAGGCATTACACAAGTGAGGCATGACTCAAAAGGTTGTACTTTTCTTAAATTATGGAAAATTCTCACCCATGCCTAAATATCATCAGATTAGCAAAAGTGAAGGAGCTCATCAGATAGGGAGGGGTGTATGGCCTTTCCTAAGGCAGCAGATTCAGGGCCACCTAAAGATTATACTGACCGCCTCTTTGCTTCTGAGGTCAGTTCTAAGTGATGGTGCTTATTGTGGAGATAAAGTAGATTTAGGCAGGTAGAGAGAAGCCCTGTCAACATCCACTCAGGATGGGTCATGTGCCAGTCAATGAGAGTAGAGTTAGGAGCAGGTATAAATAGAGCTGGAGAGAGAGTAGAGGGTGGGTTAGTTGGTTAGGGACTGAACTCAGAATGAGAGTTCAGGTTTTACTGCACCCTGAGGGGATGAAGAGCTTGAGAGGCTAGTTTATGCTGCAGAGAAAGGCAGTTAAACATTTAAAAAGCCCTAGATAGGATTGAGGGTTGAAACAGACCACCCCAAAGGAGCATCTCCATGCTGCCCCTTTCAGTGCCAGATCGGGGCAGGAGCAACTGCACACCATTGGCCCTGATCTAGCAGTTTTCTGGCTCTAAAAGAAGCAGCAAAGTGCTGCTCCATTTTAAAATGGCAAAAAGCTGCCCTTGCACCATTTCTTCTGTGCACTGTGTATGAACAGTACACAGATGTCCTGAAGCTGCCTACTGGCTGGGCAGTAGGGCAGCATGATGCCAGCATGGGGACAGAGTTGGGGCAGCCATTGAGCAGTCACTATGCTCCAACTCCACCCCTAGGCTGGCATTTATCACTGGTCTATACAGCCCCTAGGAGTGTCCTGGAGAAAGTGAAGTGTTGTTCTCTGAGGAGAATAGTATACAGTAAAAAGTGAAGCACAAATAGTTAATAAAAATTAGCTCAATATGATCCCCCCACTCTACATGAACATGGAAATGATTATGTTGGAGGTGGGTTGTGATTTTTCAATGATGGATGGGGGGGGGGGGTTAGTTGTTGCTTAGTCAAAAAAGAATTCTGACCTCCACAACAAGAGAAAAACTGAATTGTGATAGCATGAGTCCACGTTATGCCATCATAATTCACCAAGACGATGCCAGCTTCTGTTTATTCTTCTAAAACCTCCCACACTTGAACTGAACCTCACCTAACTGTGTCCCTGATATTGGCAGCATCCTTTGCATTATGCAAATAATCTTTGAGGTGTTCATCATTAAAGGGAACAATGGTCCTCTCAATTCAATATAATTGCTTTAATACGCTTTCCTACCAGCTCCTAGAATCTCTACCCACCAATGGAAGGCTTGCATTTCACAGTCTTGATAAATATCCTATTGATTTTTCCTCCATGTAAGAAAAACCCACATTTTGTCTTGATATGGATAATGGAAATGTTTCTTGTCTAGAAAGAAAGAATAAATTTCCTTTTCTTTTCCCTCATACATGCAGGCATCTCCTCACAGATTACACTCTCAGAATCTGGTGGTGGCCTGAAGAAGCCTGGAGAGTCCCTGCAATTGACCTGCACAGTATCTGGATTTTCTCTAGCAAGCTATCCAGTGAGCTGGATCCGTCAACCACCCGGAAAAGGGCTGGAATGGATGGGGATTGCCTGGCGTACTTCAAGCCCTGACTATAACAGTGCTTTCCAAAATCGGATCAGCATCACAAAGGACAATTCAAAAGGCCAGGTGTTTGTTCAACTGAATGACTTAAAGCCTGAAGACACAGCCACCTATTACTGTGCAAGGGACACACTGAGGAAATCCCACTCAAAGATAGCTCAAAAACTACCCTTCTAAAAGAGCAAACTTCAGTCAGCTATGTGTTTGTGAACTGCAGTTGGAAACATGCCTTTCTTTCTTCTTACTCATTTCCTCAAGCACTGATCCATAAACTCTCAAATAATTCTTTGTCCAGTAGCACATATTCATAAAGCTAACATCAGAAGACCCAGTGTGGTGTAGCGGTTTCAGCACTAGACTAGGACTCTGGAGACCAGGGTTCAAACCCAGTTTAGTCACAACAAACCACTGGGTGACCTTGGGCAAGTCACATTCTTCTCTCAGGCACTGGCAAACTTTTGAAGAAACTTGTCAAGAAAACCCCATGATAGGTTCTCCATTAATTGGAAATGACTTGAAGGCACACAACAACTACAAAGGAGCAGAAAGAGCACAGAAGGAATATTTTAGAAAAATTGGCCCTGAATGTATACTATTGATCAGTTCCAACTAGAGTAGACCCATTGAACCAATTGCTGAATTGTGACTCAACTTAGGGGCATTTCAGATTGGCCTAAAGGGATGGCCTGGGGGCATGGAGTTGGGGCAATGAAAAACGACTGAAGAAACATCATTTTTGAAGGTGTTAGGTTGTAGTATGTCTGCAGTAAAGAGCGCATGAACTGGAAAAGGGAAGATCCTACTTTGGTCTTTTCTGCCAAAGATTGTTGGTGCCTCATTGGACTATAAATCCAGGATTCTGTAGGAGTGAGCCGTGGCAGTTCAAGTGGTGTCAAACTGCATTGTTTCTAAGTGCCTCAGCTATGTAGCTATGTATACGTAATTATATATGATGTAGACAGTGATACAGGATTTAGATCAACATTATATTCAGACAGATTATATCATACCTAAATATATATTTGGATAAAGCTTGTCCCTTTAAAAATAATTTTCATATCTCAATCAAATACTGTTAATAATACAACTATAACTACAAACCCAATTCAGTTAAACTTTAACTCCCAAAAAATAACAACCCCAAGATCAAGTTGCAGTATGTCAGTCCAAAAATGATTCACACTTTGAAGGAAGTCCAGGGGCAAGGTGCATTTCTGAAAGAAATAGGACAAAGGATTTGGAATTATCTTCCTTCTTTTTGCCTTTCCAATATCAGTAGTTTTGTTCTTTTTCTACTGGGTGAGTTTTTTGTTAAATTTGGCTTGGACTTTATCAAATAGTGGATCAATAATTGTGTCATGTTTCTTCTTCTTAATTCTTCTTTTGTGTTCTTGTTTATTGCATGCAGATATTTCTTCCCAGATTACCCTCATAAAGTCTGGCAGCAGTGTGAAGACACCAGGACAGGCTTTGCTTCTGACCTGTACAGTCTCTGGATTTTCTGTAGGCTGGCTCCGTTACCTCTCAGGAAAGCGAATGGAGTGAATTGTACATATCTGGAATAGCGGAAGCACTTACTATAACAGTGGTCTCGCAAATCGGATTTCCATCACAAAGGACATCTTAAAAAGCCAGGCGATCCTTCAGCTGAGTGGATTGACACCTGAAGACACTGCTATGTACTACTGTGCAAGATGAACACTAAGAAAATTCTTCTCAGCAATTATACAAATACCATTCTTCCTGAAAAAGAAAAAGAAGTGTTATTCATGGGTTTGCTTGCTCATCCTGCTTCCCCAACCCTGGATACAAATCATTCATAGTTGCAAATACCTAAATGCAGGCAGGGAGCCTGGAAGCTGATCTGATAGCCTTTTAGCTGAAGAGCCGGGTATGAATACTCCAAATAAATAAATAATAAATAAATAATAGTGGATTCTTTAAAGCAATGAGAAAGAAGAACCTACAGCTGCATGAACATTCCTCTGCTGAACCAATGTGTAAGCATCACCATGGTTAGGAATAAAATAGATAAGATAGGGGATCTCTGGAAGGGATCTAGCCAATAAGGATAAAAACCAAGGTTATATGGGAGGGGAATTTTGGGCATATTCACTTCCTCTATTTGCCACACCCTGTCTCTCCTCTCTCACACATGCAGTAGTGCTGAAGAATATTGCTTTATGTTCCCACTTCCACTAATTTGAATAATTGAATGAACTATAATTCCCAGGATTCCCTAATACTGAGCTAGGGCAGTTAAAGAGTGTTAAATTAGATTATTTTTCCAGGATGTTTTGGGTGTCAATGTTGTTGACATGGAGAGATCTTTTGCCAATGTCATCCTCATACACACACACACACACACACACACACACACACACACATGTTACTACCACCAATAATAATACTAAGGAGATTATTGCAATGTTAATAAAACTGGCTTACGTGAGCTGGCTTAAGATTCAAAATGGACAGCATCCTGATCTTATCACAAGGATTTAGCTGCCAAAATCACGACCTGGGTCCATCCCAGGTCCATCCCACTCCCAGGGGCACTCAGTGCTCCTCTTTTCGAAGCAGGGAGTTTTCCAGCTTAAGGAACTGGCTGCCCGATGGCCCTGGGAGCGGCGATGGAGCTGGGATGGACCCAGGTGGAGATTTCAGCAGTAAATCCTTGTGATAAGACCAGGATGCTGCCTGTTTTAATTTTTAAGCCTGCTCACATAAGCCAGTTGCATTAGCACAGCGATAATCTTCTAAATTTAGGTTTTGTCTTCCAAGAAGCAAAACAGAGGTCTGGACCATTGAGGCTGCTGCCACACTGCAGAACTGATGCAGTTTGATACCATTTTAAGTGCCATGGCTCAGCTCTATGGAACCCTGGGATTTTTAATTTGTTGTGGCACCAGAGCTCTCTGAAGAGAAGACCGAATAGCTCACAAACTACAAATTCCAAAATTCCATAGCTTTGAGAAGGGGTAGGCAACCTAAGGCCCGGGGGCCAGATGCGGCCCCCCGAAGCCTTTGGACTGGCCCCAGGCCGGTCCTGCCACCACCTCCGCCCCCCCGCCATGATGATATTGATTATTGTTGTTATTACTTGTTCTTGGGGTTTTCTTGGCAAACTCTCCACAGGGGTTTTGTCATGGCTTTTCTGGGGCTGAGAGAGTGTGCATGCATATTTATTTAATTATTTATTTATTTATGGTGCTTCAGCCCCCCAATTGTCTGAGGGACGGCAACCTGGCCCCCGGCTCAAAAAGGTTGCCTACCCCTGGCTTTGAGCCATAGCAGTTAAAAGTGGAGTCAAAATTATTTCTGCAGTGCAGATACAGCCAGGCATTCTGTTATATTGCTAGTGTCTAGGATGTTATGCAAATAGTCCTGGTGCCACTTTCTTTAAAAGGTTGTTACAGGTTGAGGGCAGGGAAGTCATCTCCTGAACTCCATTTAACTGACGTTCCACCCTGAAGATTGTTTTCAATAGCCAGTCATGGAACTGAGGCTCTTCATAAGCATCTTAATAGTCTTCCCTGCAAGTAAGAAAATATAACTGGATTGTTCTATAGTATTTCTGTGAAATTAAAATTCAAGTCTCTTTGAAATTCTCCTCATAATTTTTCTTCTTTCTTTCCATCCCCCCATTCCTTTTCTTTTTGCACAGACATTTCCTCCCAGGTTACCCTTACAGAATCTGGTGGTGGTGTGAAAAGACCAAGTGAAACTATCTATCTGGACTGTAGAGTCTCTGGATTTTCCCTCACAGACTCAAGCTACGCAGTGGGCTGGATTCGGCAGTATTCAGGAGAGCACTTAGAGTGGATTGCACATATCTGGGGTCATGGGGACACTTACTATAACAATGTCCTCCAAAATTGGATCTTTATCACAAAAGACACCTCAAAAAGCCAGGTGATCCTTCAAATGAGTGGCTTGAAGCCTGAAGACACAGCTGTGTATTACTGTGTGAGATGCACACTGAGGAATCCTTCTCAGCAATAATACAAAAACTATCCTTCCCTTTCTTGGGGTGTGTGTGGAGGAGTCATTCATAGCTTTGTGTGCAGCAGTTGAAAACAAAGTCATATTTACTTAAGGAAAAAAGCAGACATTTCATTATGCATCATTATTTTATTTTACAAATGTCTCTGTCTTATTAAGTTGGTAAAGAGTCTGGGCATGCTTACCACAGCAAACTCACCAAAACAACACAACCACTGGTCCACATAGGGATCACCTTGAGTCCCAAGTATTGTATCCAGGAAGGGATTAGAAGGAAGGGAAGGACAAGGTGAGTGACAGGAGCCCAAGGGCTGAAACTGTGTGTGGGATCAACTTGCAAAGAGAATCAGTCATATATACAATTGGCCCTCCATATCTATGTATACAGCATTTGTATTCAACCTTCCATGGCTTGAAAATATTCCCCCCACCAAAGAAAATCCAAATCCTTGTTTTTGCCATTGTAGATAAGGGACAGTATTTTACTACACCAGTGTATATATGAGACTTTGATATCCACAGATTTTGGTATCCATGAGTGATCCTAGAACCAAACTTCAGCAGACATCAAGGACCCATTGTATTTGGTTTAGTTTGGTTTTGCTGTGGTAAGTATGTCCAGACTCTCTACCAACTTAATTAGACCAGACGGAGACAGTTGTAAAACAAAAATGTATAGGTGGAAGTTTATTAGGACACAATTAGATAGGACATTAAACTCCTGAACTACTGAAACATTCACAGCTCCCCAAAACCATAGTCAGTTCTTGCCTCTGACTCACTGTCCTGTCTCTATTACAGCTCTTCCCTTTCTCTATATATCAGTGGTTCCCAACCTTTGCTTGTCCATTTTCTTTTGACTTTAGATCACTATACTTACTATATATTACAATGTCATATTACACCTTACATTTGGCAAAGTAACTTTAACTTCCTCACATACCAGTTACTCCGTATATGGTAGCTGTCTCTGTACAGTCTCTGGATTTTTTCCTCAATGCCTCAAGCTACACTGTGGTCTGGATTAATCAGTTTTCAGAAAAACACCTGAAGTGGGTTTTATATATCTGGGGTGATGAAGACACTCTGAAATCAGATCTCCATCACAAAGGACACCTCAAAAAATCAGGTGCTTTCAACTGGTTGGCCTGAAAACCAAAGAAAACAGCCATGTATTCCTGGATAAGATCGGACACACATTGAGAAATCCATTTTAGTAGTAATGCAAGAACCATTCTTCCTGGAAAGAGGTGTTAGTCATCCATGGGTTTGTGTGCAACAGCTGAAAACAAAGTCATGTTTTTGCTGACCAGCCATAGAATAATGAGACCAGACACAGATAACTGGGTTGAATAAATAAAGAGGAGTAGCTAATATCCCAGAGGACAAGATG